GATGACTAGAATGCTCATATATATATATATATATATATATATATATATATATATATATATATATATATATATATATATATATAGATAATATTAGTGAAAATATACATACATATGAAAAATATATACAAAAGAAAAATATATATATATATATATATATATGTATATGTATGTATGTATGTATGTATATGTATATATATGTGTGTATGTGTGTATGTATGTGCATGTACACGTATGTCTGTGTGTGTGTGTGTGTACATGCCTAAGTGTATGTACCTACTTGTATATGTTTTTTTTTTTTTTTTTTTTGTGTGTATTAGTATGTGTTTTTGAACATAGAAATATTTGGTCCTTGCGAAATGAGACAATCGTTATATTCATCTTCATATATTTATATTTGATTTTAAATTTTAAGTAAACACAATTTTATTTTCCTTCGTCCCATCCCTCTCCCCACCCTTTCTTTTTTTTTTTTTTTTTTTTTTTTTTTCCCTTCCTATCCGAATTGTCTGTGGTGTGTATATGTCACCACGAAATGTATCTTTATGTATTAGACATCCGTCGACTTTCTTTCTCTCCTCTTTTTAAATCCACCCCACCCACATCTCCAAAAAATTCTCTCTGTCACTCATCCTCATACTTACACTTTCTCTAAATTCTGTTTTGATTTCCGGAGTTGTTTTTTTCTGTTTTCATTTTGAATTTGTAGGTCTGATGATTTGGATCGTATTTACGATTCCAATGGAATAAATTATGACCATGGAATATTAGTGTTTAAGCCTTTTTATTATATATATATATATATATGCGCATGTATGTATGTATTGTCAGCTACACCTTTTTCCAGGTACACCAATTTGCAAATTCCTAACAAAGAACAGCCCGAGCCGTTACTCGAGTTTCACCCTATCGCGATCTTCAGATGACTAGAATGCTTATATACATACACACACATATATATATATATATATATATATATATATATATGCGCATGTATGTATGTATTGTCAGCTACACCTTTTTCCGGGTACACCAATCTGCTGTTGCAGACGCCTGTCTTGGCACACTTGAGTTGAGGTATTATTAACTTGAAACATTAGTAAAAGAGATGCGAATTCGAGTCTCACTCAAAGTTCTGCGCTGTTTACTAATGACCAAAAACTATCTGATTTGTCAACATTAATCTCTCATACGTAATACTAAAGAATATTACGTATTCAACTCCCGACTGCTTTTATTTGTCGGCGAGTGAGTGCGTAACTTTGGGGTTTTTGTTCGAACGTTCATTCTATATTCTCGTAAAGATGTAAGAGTCTTCTCTTCTTCCTTTTCGGTTTGGTGATTATGTATATATTGATTTGTCCGACGTATAGGCCTGCTGAGCACAATGAGCCCACATGGGTATGTATGTTGGGAACAGCTACGGATATCTAATGAAGTCGTGGATCTGTCTGTGTTATCATGTAGATCAACCCGCTAATGCATTTGGCTTCTCTGATGGACACAATCAAAAGTCTATTTTGGAATCGTCTAAAGTGCATCATATATAATACATGAGTAAGTACGGTGAAAAGTAAATGAAATTAAAATGAAAGAAGTACTAGTGACATTTACTTTATCTTAATAATAATGATTATTTGTTATTCGTATATGATCTGCCTAACATGATCACATCTGCGTGTTGCTTTTTAGCTAACATATCAAAGCAGCAAAATAGTTAAAATAAGTGTTTGGACTTTGTTTTAATCCAAAAACAAAGCGAAAAGTAGATTTTATTTCCGTTCCAGAAAATATCACATAATCACCAGTTATTTCATATAAAGCATTTATTTAGATTGTTCAGGCCGTTTTCCTCATATTCATTGCCATATTCACGACGTTTCAATCGTTGTACGCCCCGGCATTCTTCAGGTGATATACGTTGTAATTTCAAACCAAACATTTTATTTCGTCCCCAAGGACACATGACAAAGTTGATAAAAGTGTTAGTTAAAGTAATCCAGTGACTTGACTCAGAGAGTTGTGAGTTCAATACCTGGCCACAGTAGAGGTGAACAAAAACCTGGAGAGTTGAGTTACTAAAGAAAAAATTACTGAAACTGAAATATCGCACATGGAACTAGAACAATCTACTGAGGTGGACGAAATAAAGGGTTCCGTTCAAAATTCTAAAGAATGCCAGAAAATACAATTCACACAATCCAAATGAAGTCAACCTTCAGAGGAAAAATAGTATCATATTTTACCCACACTTCTTAAAAAAATATATAAAATAAAACTTTTCTCTAAGATCGTATATACAAAATGGAGGTTCTTTTTGGCTAATGATTACCCAGACACTGTAAACTACTGGTACTTATAGGTAGCCTAACTCTATAATACTGCAATAATATAAATAAGTAGTGTTATACATGAATTTGAGGTTTCTGGTAGGTAATGTTTACCCAGACAATATAGACGACCAGTGCCCTAACTCCATGATTCTGTAATATTAAATATAAAAAGGAACTATTAGATAAGACGTTGAGGTATCTATCTGGTAAGCCAATATTTACACAGAAACCATAGACGACCAGTATTTGTACTTAGCCTAACTCCACGTTACCGTAATATTAAATATAAATAGGTAAAGTTTGTTCCAATAAATTGGACCAATTATAAAATTAATTCACATATAAATCGGTCCACGTTATTGGAACACCCTATATATGCAATCAAATATGGCTTTTTTCAGTAAGCTCAAAAGAATAGTGATAAATCATTCTTTCTCGACTTTGACTGCGATAAATATTTAGAATAAATGTTTACTATCTTTCCAAAGAATGCATAGCAATTCGCAGATAATAAAAAAACATAATTATAGTGAACCCTGACTACGTACGTAGAAGAGAAACATTGTATTAAAAGAAACGCCATAACCTTAAAACAACCCCTATACAAACTGTCGCAACTATTTCTGTCGAAGAGTTAATTTAAGTTTCATGTTTCTGGCAGTCACCTTTTAGAAATATGAGTTATTATTTATTTTCAATAGAGAATGTAGCGTTGATTTTATTCATTTGTTCAATTAAAAAAAATTTTCAACTTTTTTAAACATTTTGTTTTTCTACATTTTTATTCCTTATTCTAACCAAGGTATTTATTTACTTATTTTTACTTGATTAATTGGAATGCCATCCTGTAAATACGACTGACTTTATTTAGCTTCCTATACCCAAACATTAGCAATTCTTTCTTCGCCTTCAGTAAAAAGGCAGATAAAATGCTAGTATGCTCGTCTACACGCTCAACTCCGAAGAAAAGACATAGACGAGATCACGAACGAAAGACGAGATTTTACGTTGAAAAAGACTGAATAAATTTTTACACCATTTATGGGTCTTGTGTAGAAAGATCCACTCAAACAAACCTCGTTTGGACTGATATTTTCATTTGATCATTTAGTGAACTAGCGGACAAAACGGTTCAATTCAGAGAAATGGCGTGTGGTTAATAGGGTTGTATTGTTTACCCTGCTTTACTCGAGAAAGATAGGAAGAAAAAAAAGAAAAGAAAGTTTAACCTATTTATTTCAGAAATATAGAAATATTAAAGAAAACTGATTGATTTTTTTTTTTTTGTAAATTTCTTAGATGAATTATCATTATTATACACTGATTTATTCGAAGTTGTATTTTGATATTGATTGATTTCGACTGGGATGTAGATGAGTATATCAGTTCTATAGATATTTTCATGGAAATTTTTTATAAACTTGCCTCTTTGGCACCTGAACTTTGCGCCTTCTTGGTCTCACGTTTTCCACTGATATGAATCACTGAGTTGGAATCAATTGCTAGTTTTACTGCTAGGAAATTTGGTTCCCTGTGTCGTGTACCAGACAACTCTATTCGCCAGAATGCTTCTTGCCCGTTTATAAATCTACCATTCGTCTGTGCATTGAATATTGTTGCCATATTTGGTTTTGTTATGTTGACCTATCTACATTAGAATGAACTCTTCCTCCTTCATAAATACTAACCTGCGAGACTTCCTAGGGAGGCAGTCGGGACGCAGTGTAACCTGATACTTTGGACGGACACTTCTATCTGCTATAACCCTCTTATTTTGTATATATGTTCTGTTATTTCAATACACTTGTTCAACCTATCTTCTTCCTTCCATGTCTTTCTTTCTGACCCTTAACAGGCCAAAACAAGTTTGGTGTCCCTGTCATATCTCTCGAGATTCTCAACAAAATCCAAACAAGAATCTGTAATGTTATCGGCCCTGACCTGGCATCTCGATTTCAGTTACTTTCCCGTGACGTAAATTCCCTGTATTATTCCTTTAAATATTTTCATGGCAATTCTTTTAATGAGACTCGACCGCATGAATTTAAGCGTACTACTAGATTGGCAATTAGGTCTCATCGTAAAACTGTTGAAATAGCCGGTTGTAACCGTAAGTTCTATTCTAATAATTTCTTCTCTAGCACTTCTTCCCCGTGGTTACTCTCTTCAGGCTACTTGATTTCCTGGCAATTATAATTTTCAAAAATTTAAATGCGCCGTCAGTCGTCATTTTGTGTCTGCTTAAAATTCCGTTCTTTTATTGTCCTCTCTCCTCAATAATGTATCCTCAATTTCTTGCACTCTCAGTAAACATTTGCCTATTACTGACTTTATCACTTTACTTGGAAGGAAATGATAAAAAAGAGTACACGATGTTTTTACAAGCATATCTTTTGAAAGTGACTGGAGTCAAATTTGACTAAATCCTAATCTAGTGACGTAAGTGGGCTTTAAGCAAATAAAAAAAAAGTAAGAAAAACGTAGTTAATTTATTTGTATCTTATTTTATACTGTATTTAAGAATTCTACTAGTTTTACTATTTTAGTAATATATTGAAATTTCTATATTTGTTATGTATTAGACAAAAGTAACTATTTAAGCAAGTTCAGTACCAATTCTTGCGCAAAAGTCAAACTTGATACGAATCGCAAGTCACTGCACGATTGGAATTAAAAGGAAAGAAAGACAAATAGAGAGAGAAGAAAAGAAAAATGGAAGAATGCGCGAAAGACGAAAGAGTAAAAGAAAAAAACAGAGAAAAAAATTATGAAATCTTAAAAAGGAAGAAAAGAAATTCAACGAAATGTTAAGGAAGAAGGGTTATCTAAAGAAGAAAATAATGAAGAAGAGTAAGAAGAAAATAATGAAGAAGAAAAAGAAAGAAATAATGAAGAAGAGTAGGAGGAAATAATGAGTGATTGGTTTCAGTTTCGCGAGTAAATAAGGTCCTTCTCATTGTGAAATAAATGTTTATCCAATGCAGAAGTTTACAAAGACAACCAAAGATATGATGCTGTTAATTTTCCAAAACTAATGATGATGTCAATTCATACAAACAGTGCGCCACAAAAGAAAGGGACGGAGACTAAATCTGCCAGCTGACTAAACCAGATGTTTATTTTAAATATTCCTTATTACTCATATATATATATATATATATATATATATATATATATATATATATGTGTGTGTGTGTGTGTGTGTGTGTGTGTGTGTGTGTGTGTGTGTGTGTGTGTGAAAAACATAGTTTTAGGTGTGCTATATTTATGGGATAAAGTGCTCAATATCAAAGATAGAGCGTATGTAAATATAAATATAAAATGCGTCCAGCATGAAACAGCCTGTCGCCTCTGTGTGTTGACTTCAATGTTCACTTTTATATTCATATATATATATATATATATATATATATATATATATATATATATATATATATATATATATATATATATATATTATTATGGTCCAAGGTTAGAACCAAGGAAGAACAACACGAACACAAGAGTAGAATAACAAAGATATATTACAACAGAAATATAGTACAAGAAGTTGAAGGTGTTAATAATGACTGTCCGTCTGGTTTCAAGTGAACTAATATTGTCTCGACTCGTTACACCATTCATTCGGTATCTAGCCACCCACCACGAGGGTTGCATGTGACACAAGGCCGAGTTTAACGTGGGTTTCCCGAGCCCGCAGGCTCGGTCAAAATATACTGCCCCAAACCCGCCTAGACGGGTTCAGGGTTCAGATACCTCCCCGGTCGAAACCCTGCGCTTCGGCAAATCTTCGTCTGGGTTCCTCTCTGCCAAAGCAGAGAGTTCAACAGTCATGACCTGGTGCTCGTTACACCATTCATTGTATTTAATATCCCACCCATGAGGAATATATGTGGCACAAGGCCGAGTTTAATGTGGGTTTCCCGAGCCCGTAGGCTCGGCCAAAAATATACCCTTTGAACCCACCTAGACGGGTTCAGGGCCTGTCTACCTCCCCGGACGAAACCCTGCCCTTCGGCAAAGCCCCGTCCGGCTTCCTCCCTGCCAAAGCAGAGAGTTCAACAGTCATGACCTGGTGCTGGTGACACCGTTCATTCATTACCTCTTGAGAGGCGCTGTATTTATAGTGTCAGGAAGAGTCCATTATCGTTATAGGTAAGTTCCCATAACATATATATATATATAATCAGGAATACATATATAGATATGAATAATCAGGAATGTATATGTGTGTATGTGTGTGTGTGCGCGTGTGCGCGTTCGCATGTGTATGTGTGTGTAATAGTATCCGAAACAAAAGTGTAGATGATGAAACAAATTAGAAAATCTGACATCATCAAAAAGACTAAAGAAAGACAAAACTGATGTCAGCAAATAAGTCTTTGGGTCTCTGAATTGTTATCATAAATCACATTATCATTTCCTGACATGTGATTTGGAGAGAGTCTGTCTGCCTCTGTGCTAGTTTTTTTTTACGAAAAGAATCTATTAAGCTTTAGATAAAAATGGAGAAGCTCGGACTGTTGGTTTGTTCAGTACAAGACACAAGACCCACTCAAGGTAGAGCGTTAGTGTATGGACTTATATTAGCGTAGGAAAGAACAAGCGTTAGGTGTAGAAATATATATGAGTTGAAGCAAACTAGAAATCTAACACTAAACTGAAACCAAAGAATAAACCTCTACTCCTGATAAAAAAAAAAAAAAAAAAAAAAAAACGGGGAGGAGTGAACAGGACAATAGGCGAACCTATTTTCTCCTATTGAGGCGGAAAGAGAAAAATAAGATAAATAATTATATATATATATATATATATATATATATATATATATATATATATATATATATATATAGTTTTAAAGTGTGCTATATTTATGGGATAACGTGCCTGTATCAGAGATAGACTGTATGTAAATATTAATATAAAAATGAAAAACTATTAAATAAGCGACCTAAACAAATACCCAAAGATTTTTTTATACGTAAACATCAAAAACCGAAAAGAATAAATAAATATATAAAATAAAAAATGAAAATAAAAACAGGTAAAATAAATTATCTCAAATAAATAAATAAACAAGACACTCCCACCAAAATAACCGCCAGAATGGATTACTCACGATGCACCACTGACCCATATATATAAATAGTCGAGAAAAATTCAACACTCGCGGCCTGACGATTGCGTCTAGAATGAAACAGCATGTCGCCTCTGAGTGTTAACTTCAATGTTATATATATATATATATATATATATATATATATATCGGACATATAGTGCTGGTGTTAATGAAACAGTGCTCAGTGTAATATAAAGGAGCTATTAAGTATATATTAATAAATCTACATATTATCCCTCATCGCTAGCACGACTCTGAGTTTCATGCACGACGCAATCTTCATGTGCAGAGTATAAACAAGCATTTACGCAATTTGAATTATAATCTATCTGGATATCACAATGTTGGTGTAGTTATAAATTATGCTGGGATTAGAGTTTTTTAATTTTAAAATTTTAAAATTATATTTCGCAATTAAAATAAGTGGGATTTCTATATGTATGCAAAAAAAAGTAAATTATATTATTATATTTTAATGGTGAATATTCATATAATTTTTTGAAAATTTTTCAAAAAATTTAAGTAAAGGGAGATTACTTGTTATTATTTAAACAAAAAACATAAATTTGTATTCAAATAAATAAATAGTACTTTGCATTAAAAATAAACCGTAATTTACATTAAGAATTAAAAATTAAAGAATTGATTAGGATAAAAGTATTTAAGCAGATATTTATTTTTATGCCTACATATAACCATCAATTCATTTCTCTTGTTTAATAAGCTAGGTTTATTAAAGTGTTTTAAGATAACTAATTTTTCAACTAGACATAAATTGCATTTATTTCCTTTTCCGTGATAAGCCTTAACTCTAGATAAAATTTCCCAGTTGATTCATGGTTAGACGCCCTCATTGTTTAATCGTCAGAATTATTTAGAGAGAGCAGTACTATTTTTGTAATTTAAATTACTTAACGTCATTCGATGATGGTAAAAACGTAATTTCCAAGGATTATCTGTGGAATAGAACATAGTGATAACCAAAATATATTATAATTTAATCTGTGTAACAGTCACTTCATACTCAGTACCTGAAGATTGTGTCGTGTATGAAACTCAGAGTCCTGCTAGTCGTAAAGGATAATATATATATATATATATATATATATATATATATATATATATTATATATTCTCTTGCAAGGATATAAGTTTGTGACCCTGGGTTTCACGCTTTTACGATCATCAGACGAACTGGTTTATTTTTCAAAACGGGATCTATTTATGCTTGGTGGTAGCAGAGGGAATTTACTTCTGTGTTTGTTTAGGGTGACACTATCATACACAAAGACACACATATATACAGGTGTAGGCATTTTACTTCACACAGATCCATCCATATAAACAATTCGAGGCTAGGTGCAGATACACATCCATGCATTCGGACGTACATACATACGTAGTTGTAATTCTATTTCGGTGTCGAAACCGTAGCTTTTATAACACTGTTCCTTTTAACAAGTAGCAGGTAGTGCTGTTCTTGACGCTTTTCAGATCTACCGCCTGCGCCGTCAGAGAAACTTACACTTCCTCACGCACACACATACACTCCTATATATATATATATATATATATATATATATATATATATATATATATGAGATAATGATCTATGAATTTTTATATATCAAGAACAATATTGAGGGTGGGGTGAATGTATGACAAAGTTGAAAATTTTTTTCGTGACTCATTTCGTCCTTTAGGACTTCAGCCCGATGAAGTCCTAAACGACAAACGCGTCACACGAAAACTTTTTTCCACTTTATCATACATTTTCTCCATATATATATATATATATATATATATATATATATATATATATATATATATAATCCTCTTATTTCTAATGATAAAGTATGAGTAGTTGTGTAAATACTCTTCGACTGATAGAGTAAAAACAGCAAAAATCGGAAATAGAAGAAAAGCCTCTGATGATATCCAAATGAGCCCGGCAGATCCAGGGTGTCCGTCTATCATGAACGCGCCCTTTGAAGCAAATCAGTCACTGAAACGTCGATGATTAAGCAGAACACAAATTAGCCATTCTTCTGAAACTATTTCTTCAATTACGTGAACCGCCAATCAATTACTCTAAAGAGAGCATTGCAATAAAAACCAAAATAATAAAATCAAAGAAAGTCTTCAAATTAAATACTAATTAATTAAAATTATGCATTTTAAACTTGAAACTCTCTTTCATCTAATTGATATGTTATAAAGAAAAATTAATAACAAAATGAAATATTGACTCCGAATTATTAAAAAAAAAAGGTAAGAGAATGGGAGCGGTGGGATTCGAACCCACGCCTCCGAAGAGACTGGTGCCTTAAACCAGCGCCTTAGACCGCTCGGCCACGCTACCGACTTCTTACACCGAAATAGTAAGTACGATATATTAAATCGGTGAACTGTCACGATGAGACGTATGTAAAAATGTTAAAATTTTATCTCCTGAACAGTTTTTAACAATATATTAATTACTGTGAAAACCTCAACAGCGATACTTACTGTGGTAAAGTTTGAAATTCGAACATTTATATGTTTAACATATATATATATATATATATATATATATATATATATATATATATATATATATATATATATATATATATATATATATATATAATTTTGACTATGACCAGTTATATTAATT